TTTAACTCACTTTTAGTTGAAAGATGAATAAAAGTTTAAAATAAATAAATAAAAATAAATTTTAAAGAAGCACAAGATTAACAACAAAAAAAAAAAGTTCCTGAGTTATAGAAAGCTTATTTGCATTGGTAAACGAATTGCAAGTATGATTTTTTCTGCTTTGCTAACAAAATAGTAACTCATCCATACCTCTACTCCTACCATTACAAGCAAAAGGAGAGTTCAACAAAACATGTGCGTAGTGAAGCTACATTTACATCAAGAAGCAAAACAAGGGGACACCTTAGCATTTGCTCAATGGATCAGAGAAACTGGACAAAAACCTGATTGAGATGGGGGTCATTGACCGAGAGGCTAAAGTACATTATTTGTTACAATCATATTGAGTCTTTTTAAAGAATTATACAATACAAATGTAAACTAATTCAATATACTTCAATGTTTTGTTAAAATAAAAATTGTTTTTCTTTTTGATAATCAGTATAGTCTCTAATTGTATAGAAAGTGATGCAGCAGAAAATATTTTATTTTTAACTTAAATGTGTGACTTCAATTGTTTAATGTCATCTGGCAATGTGTTTTAAAATAACGTACAGGTATTTGTATGTGGATTTCTGATAGTGAGCTGTTGATACTGACACTTGATGAACGTTATTTTTTATTATCTGTGTTGTAATTATACATATCAGTATTGCATGAAAATATGTTCCCACTGTTAAGTAAGTCACTTTTGACAAATATTACAGATTCGCAAATATTTAGGCAAGGCAGTGGTAAGATTCAAATCTCAATAAAGAGAGGCTTACAGGGATCACCGGATGGCATTTGTTCATTGTTCATATAATTTTCTTTTGCAATCTAAATGTCTGAGTACTATATGATGAGTTTCCCCAGAATTTTATGCCATATCTCAGGTGGGAATGTACATTTGCAAAATACATGCAATGAGATGCATGGAGGCTGACAGAATTTGAAAAAATTCTAAATGCTTAACATAATGAACTTAATTTAGTGTTTAATTTTGTTATATGCCCTTTCCATTTGAGGTGTGACTGAATTGAGAAACCTAGAAATTTTGTTACCTGAAAACCTTTTGTTAGCCTTCCTTCACAAAAAACATACATACATAAATGAAGAGAAAATTTTCTATTAGTATTCCAAGTTCAGTAAAGAGAGGCTTGCAGGAGCTATTTACACAGTATTTACTTCACACATTTTCTCTAAAATCTAAAGGTCAGGATTACAATCCTCTATATTACAGTTTTATGCTGTATCTCAGACAGCACTGCATATTAAATGTCAAGCTGTTTTAAAAGAAACACTAAATAGATTGAAATTATTGAATAAGTTTAGAACATTCAAAAGTAATAATTATCAACTAAACTGTTACATTTTATGCAAGAGAAAGCAAAAGAACACGAAGGGGATGTACATTTTGATAGAGATGGAAATAGAAGCAAAAGTAAAGAAATAAGTTAAATATGTATCTCAAATACCTGCTGCATAGATTAAACAATTACTTAATTGCACATAAAATGAAATATTCAATATTTGAAGTCTCACTAGAAAGTTATACAATGATCTGTGAAATAATTTCAGAGAAAAAGTAGAAAATAATATGAATGGGAAAGTACTTTGCAAATAGGATTGAAAATGAATGCCAGAACTAATGAAAAATAATATCAAACTCTATACTATTGAATATCATGATGTACTGAGAAACCCAAAGTATCAGCAAGATATTGTTAGAAAATGAACATTACAAACTTCTAATTACTATCTAATCATCATCATCATCATCAACACTCTTGGTGTAGATGCAGTTCTCCTGTCCTGTTAGCGGGTAGTAAAGCAGTATTCCTTCATATGATGAAGTGTTCCTGCTGCTGCCATCTTCTTGTCCGCCTGTCTCTATCCCTCTTGCCATTCAGTCTATAGTTTAATGCCATCTGTGGCAGACCTCGTTTGTCCATGCTTTTCACATGTTTTCTCCATTTCCTTTGGCCATTTTTTATTTCTTCAGCTGTTTCCTGTTTTTAGTTATTTCCTAATTGTTTCATTTTGAATTTTATCCCTTCCTTTTTACTTCTAACTGTGCCCTTAGAGACTTCATATGAGCTACTTCTATGCTTCTGGTTTCTATTATACCCATTATCCACATTTCTGAATCATATTTTAGCATTGGTTTTATGTAATATTGTGTTTTCTCATCATTGTTTCTTTTCTCATATACCCAAAATTTCTCTAATTCTATTGTTTCTATTATATTTTTGCATTTTTTCTCCTATATCCTTCTGGTTCAATCCAATTGAATTTCCAAGATATTTGATAGTGATAACTTGTTCAATTATTGAATTTTCTATTACTATTTTGACAGATGTTTTTTGCCATAAAGGCTAGTGTTTTAGTTTTCAAGCTTAATATTTTCATTTGATATTCTTTGCTTATTTTGGTTAACTTGAAGCTGCTTTCTGTAGTGTATTTTCTGAGTCTATTATTATAATTTGATCATCTGTAAATAATATTGTCACTAATTTCAGTTTGTTTGTTATCTTTATTCTTGCTTGAGTTTTTTGTTTTCATTTTTTTGGCATGTGATTGAAGTACATGTTAAAGTGTAGTGGTGACAGTGTGCATTTTTGTCTTAGACCTTTGTTTATCTTCATCTACTATGTTGTGCCTTGGTCACTTTTAATAACTATTTTGGAATCTTGTTACAGGCTCTGTATATTTTTGATTAAATGTTCTGGTACTGTTTCTTCATTCAGAATTTCCCATAACTTCTGCCTATTCACATTGTCGCAGGCCTTTTCATAGTCAATGAACAGTGTACATGTTGGTAAGTTATGTTCTTTCCTTTTTTCTATAATCTATTGGTGTGTGAACATTGCATCTATTGTATTTCTTCCCTTGCAAAATCCACATTGTTCTTCAATGATTTTTTCTTCCTAGATTTTGATTAGAATTCAAAATCCTATTCTTCATATATACATCTTAATATTTTCTGATTTCTCAAAGAAAGACATCAAAATGTCATTATTCATAAATAAGGAGGAAAACAAACTCTAAAACTTTTACTCTTTGGCACTCTGAATATGTAAAAACTGAACTAATTAAGAAAGCAACAAATGCTATATGATACGACTATGTATATTGTTTGTTATCAAATGAAACGCAATGAAATAACTAAATTATCAGAATTTGTCACAGAGAGAAAAGTGAACTAGTGGTGTTGCAAAATGGTATAAACTTTCTCATAGTAATAAGTTTTCTATGCTCTTTAGACTGGCTTTTTATTTTTAACCCACCATTTTCTCAGCTGCCATCTATTGCTGTCTAAAGGACACTTTTTCACATTTTCTCAATTTTTCGGTGCCCTAAGGGTAGAATTGAGATATGACTTATAAAAATATTATAGAAGAGTAAAAGCCTGGACCTAAATACAATTGTGTTGAAAAATAAGGAGCAATGTTTGTGAAACTTCATTTCAGTGTTTCTGAAAACACGTAATTTTGAGCTCAATATCATTTTATTTTCAAAAAATTCATTGCAAATCATTTGAAGCATTTCTACTTACAAATGCAATAATGTATTTAAAAAACTGCTAATGTAAATGTTAACATGAGATTATATTTTTTTTAATCTGTGAAATTTATAAAAATACAAATGAATTCATCAAAGTGGGATTTACATAATGTCATTCAGTGAAATGACATTATCCCCTTAAAAACGTTTAAATGAAAAATTTGATGCCGGTTTTGACAAAAGATCATTCGAGTATTTCTGAAAATCCACAATTTTCACAGAAAAGTTTTCAATTTTTGAGACACTTTATAGGACATCAAATTAAAACATATGTAGTCTCAAGAGCAATAATGTATAAAAATCACTCATAATGTGAATGTTAATGACGTAAGAGATATTAAAAATAACTAATTGTGTAATTAAAAAAGAAAGAAAAAAGGATACTGTATAATGCGTTTATGTCATAAAATTCAATGAATTTTGCACTATTCATAGAAAAAACTTAAAAGAAAAATTTCAAGCAATTTTTGGGGGCATTTTGAAAATGTCCGAGGGGCACCTGTAAAGTAACCTCAAATTTAAAGAATCATTTTCAAAATCGCAGAGCTTTTTAGTCGGCCCGGATCGACCAGGGAATATTTATTTTGGGGGAAAAAATTCTGCGACACTGCACACGCTGGCATCAGCTGACATTTTCATATTATACTCTGTGCCATGGTAGAAAATAACACAATGAGAATCAGAGAATTGGAACATTGGCAGACGATGCAGCCTTCAGTTGTTCACACATTTTGCGTCTCTGTGATCTCCCACGGATATACTCTTTGGTTTCCCCCAGATTTCCCCTCTCCCCTCATGAGAGGGAAACTGGAAAATGAAAAAATATAATAGGACGAAGGCGGGAACCGGCAGGAACATTGCCAACTTTGCATTGTTATTGTGATAGTGTGATCTGGTGTGATCATAGAGAAACTTTTCTCTACGGTGTGATATGGCCTAGAAGTAACCGGTTCTGAGGTTATGTGGCCCTTGCAAATTGAGATTTTTTATTCACGAACGTCACGTTGAAGGCGCGATGTATCAAATGGCGCGACTTCAAAATATTTAATTTTGTATCATTTTACCGATCATTTGTGTACTTTTCTAATAATTGACAAAGTGAATTAACCATGAAGACAGTAATTTGGTTCCTTGCCACAGCTGCCTTAATTTTGGCAGTTTTGGTTAATATCGAAAGTGATCCTTCTCTTATAAGTGTAACACAATCCACTATTCTAAATCGTTACCACAGTGATCTATTTCAGTTTGTTTTACATCCTGATACTGTGGAAATGGTAAGATTGTATCATATTTTAATAATTCTTATTGGTGATTGTTATTATTCATTTACATCAAACGATTATTGCAGTGGTTTCTGTGGATATCACACTTTCGATCAGCGGATAAAAGACCAGTGGGTGTTGGGAAGCAGTATCAAGCAGTATACAGCTTCCCTTTCTTAGGTGAGCTTAATTTTCAGTGATTTGCTTAATTACTGACACACAATACAAATTTGTACTAATATTATTTTGGACTTTGTAGGTGATCAAGTTTTGTTGTTTCAAGTGAAAAAATTTGTACCTGACACTTGTTTAGTTTTGGAGTCTGAATCCTTATTTAGACCAAGGTTTGAAGTTGAGTCAAGTCCCGTGAGCAGAGGAGAGCAGACAAGATTGACATTCCGAATTTCATTTCGACGATCTTCTCTTCTTTTTCAGGTGTGAATCCCTTGTTGATAACAAGTTGACAAATTCTTATTATTTCATGTCACTTTTGTTTTGGCTCTTTTCCTACCCTGTAGTTGGTTGTTGTGTGTATGTGTATTGAAGATTGCATGTCCAAACAATTTATGTGAACATATTTTCATATTAAGCTAAAATTATAAAATGTTTTCAAATACATGTATTGACAATTTTTTTAAACTTACCAATTTTTATGAACTTTCAAAAGAATTGAAATAAGTGGAAAGAATTGATGACAAGACTTTCTTTTTGGTTTCTATATTGAAGTTTGTTCAGAATAATTTCAACAAGATAATTTCATGGTATTTCAACAACTGAAATATATTTAAATTTGCTTAATGCGGTATGTGCATATTGTGGAAATCTGTCTAATGTGAACATGGATCGTGGTCCTGCCAAACCTAAGTTCTACTGTATTGCTTATATAATCCAGAATCTTGTCTAATATGGAAAAAAATACTGGTCCCTTGAGGTTCCGCATTTAGTATTTTTACTGTACTAGCTATTACTGAGGAACTTCATATAATTCTCAACTTTCAATATGGCTTTTGCAAAGGATACTCAACAGTTGAGAAAATCCACAGAACCATGTAAGATGTATTGCAGGGTCTTGAAAAACAGATGTATTGCTCTGCTGTCTCTTTTAGATGTATAGCAAACCCTTGAAAAGGTCTCGCACAAAGAGTTATTGTTCAAAATAAAATGACTGCTATCCCTTTCTTTCTACTTTCTGCTCCAATCATACCTTTGTGATTGCCACTTTTAAGTGAGCTTTAGAGAATGCTTTATTTGGTTTTAAACCTATTTGTGCATGTGTGCCACAAGAAAGTGTCTAATTTGCCAGTTTCTGATCACACCACAATAGTCACCTTCACAGACAATATGGCTATTGTGTCATTGATTGATTCTATTTGTGCTACACAACATTTTCAAGACCATGTAGATAAAATCAAAGAATGGAAACACCAATGGCAGGGACACAGTGAATCACAACTTATCAAAAGAACAGTTTTCGGAGGTGAGAGTAAATTTGCTTAAACTTGTTACACAATTCACTGAAATTGAAATGGTAAACTATTTTAGACTGCATTTAGAGAAGGGACTAATAAGGAAATCAAAACTAAGGGGAAAAGAAGAACAAATTATAATTTTGAAGTTGACACAACTAAAGGTAAAAACTTATGTTTTACCACAAAATGATTATTTACAAGGCAATTATAAAACCAACATGGTCATGTGGTAGAGTTATAGGGTTTTGCCAAAGAAATAAATCTAGAAATTCAAAAATTTGAAGCTAAAACTTTCAAGAAATATTTTCAGCATTTGTCATTCATGACAAACAAGACCCACTACAGCTCAGACACTACAAGATACTCTACATAACTCGGCTACAAGTCATTACCAAGAGCAGTCTAATATACCAGAAGAAATTGTACAGGCACACTTACAAATTATCAATTAACCTGTTGGACAGTCATCTGCATATTACATTAAGAGAAAGAAACATTTTAGACTTTCCCATCTTGGTGTTTGCACTTTTTCCATGGGTAGAGAGATGGTTCCTGATAGTACCATTGTTGTAGTCTGTTGATCCATAGCATGTATTGCCTTTTTTATATCTCAGTAAAGGCATGATTGGTGTTTAGAGTTGACAATGGAGGCTAGGAATGATTTTGCTGCAGTTGCGGCTTGAAACATTGTCTAATGCAAGATTCACAATGACCATAACACTGGTCATGGTGTAAAGTGTACTAGGGCACACCTAACCCTAGTCTCTACATCTCAAGAATGGCTCTATTAATACTCTCTCTGATGTTCCAAAATTTAAGTTGAAATTAAAATATTCTCAGCAAAAGAAAAGAAAATGAGTAAAAATAATCAGTGATATTTTAGCATTTCTTTTTACGTTACTTTTAATTGTTCATGCTTTTGTTTTTAATAAAGCAGTTTTTTTTTTTTCATGTCAATTTATATTGCATATTTAAGAAAATATTTTCACCTTCCAAGAGCCTACTTTGGGCTTCTAAAATACTTGATTTTAGATGTTAAAACACCTTGGTTTAAAATTATGGAAGGTCCTAAGATGTGCAGGTGGTGTGTAATTATTATACACACATGTTTTCTTGACCCCTGGATTACCTACCCCTACATCTTTACCAAAATTAATTCAATTAAGAGTAAATGATAGTAACAAGCATTGTTGATGAAATTTGATAACCAGAATTGTTTGCTTTGGTGAAATATAAGCTAGTTTGCAATGAAAAACTAGCCTCAAATTTATATATTAGTCAAAAATAAGCAAATCCCCCACTCCTCTCGCATCTAGAAAAAAGAGGGCTCAAGAAAACATGCGCAGATAATATTTGGTCGTTACAAAAATGTGATGGATGTATTACCCAAAATTCATCTGACAGTTTGTTTTAAGAAAGCAATAACAAATAGAGTGTTAAAGACTTTCACAATTTTCATGCATTTTCTTTTTGAATTGGTTGTATGTAGAAATTGATATTTCAATTACATTATCCATGTTATTAACATTCTTGAAAAGTTTTGCTATTGTACTTGAATTTATTTTCACACATTCATATTGATTAATTACTTTGGGTTTGTGATCACAATTATCCTAAAGTTATGTGCATTATAAATCTATAATTGCTCTGTAATAATGTTATTTCAAAAGCCTCTTGCGTATGCTAAAGTTTGTTACTTTTTTTTTTCTTTTCAGTATACCATGGGACCTATTCTCCAAGTGTTAGCACGCCATTACATTCAAAATTCTCTCACTTTTTTACACAGTATGTAGGTGGGCTACATGTTACTGACATTGTTCTGAAGTGATTTTGAATATATATATTGGTGAAGAATTGAATAAGTCTTTTTGATGGTGTTCAATTATGGAGTTCCTTGTGTGTTACAAGTCAGTATTAAGCCATTGTTCCTATGTTTATAGGAAGACACTTCATCAATTTATGTAAGATTTCAGGATAAAACCATGATGTTTTGAGTTACCTATATCACTATGTAAAATCTCTTCCAGATAACAGAGAGGGCAATAATACTTATCACAGCACTGCATTGAGGATAAGTTATGAAAATAATATTTTCTTTTTCTTCAATTAATTACCAAATTAAATTGTTTTGTCATATAATAATTTATTTCAATATGAGTGACTTTCGTAAAATAAAAGGTGAATACTTGGTACTTAATACCAGTATTTCTGGATAATGCTAAAATAATGATACTTTATTTTTATTTATTTCCTTTTTCATAAATACATTGAGTTTGTAACTCTTAAATAAAATATACTATTAATGTGGTTTTCATTCCTTGATGATAAAAATACTTTAAACATCCAATTTTTCTGAAAGTGATATGTGGAGCGATCTACAGATTTCATTTAAAACAATCAGTAAATTTATAAGCAATTCACTGACATAAATTGTTACAGGTTCTTAATGAACTCATTTCCTGAATTGACTATTGAATATCAGTGCCCAAAGCACTATTTCTTAAGTAGATTGAGAAATATTGGAAAATGAAATTTTGTGTCGTAGGTATATGTGAAATCTGGAAACATTTTGTTCCTGAGTTAAAGAATTAAGTAATGGCATTTGCATTCTCACAATTTTTTGAAGTAAAAGTTTTTAAATATCTTTCAAAATATTGAATGTACCAGTAAGCAAAATGGTAATGAATTTTTTTTGTGATTGTATTTCTAGTCATTCTCTAAAAGTATATTTTTCTTTTCTTTTTGGATGTTTTCATTTGAACTGTGGAATTCTCAATGTCATCTATCAACATAATTTTATAAAATCATGCAAAATTATTAATCTTTGTTGATTGTGCAATTCTTTTCTATGTTGTATTGTTATTTGGACATATCCAGAAAGACTATTTGAAGTATACATTTTATTAGAATTGTTTTAAAAATTAAAATTTTACATTTTCTTACCAAAGTATTAATATGGCATAATTAATGTGGTAGGTTATTTTTGGAATATTAAGTGCAAATTTCATTCCTAATTTTTTAGCTTTCTTAAATGATATAATGTTTAAATAGAAGTACTAATACATATTATTATTATTATTATTATTATTATTATTATTATTATTATTATTATTATTATTATTATTATTATTATTAACTTGATTGGCCACATTGGACCACTTGAGTCGTTCCACTTCACTTTTTTTTTACTGTTCATGGTCGACTGTCGAAGGTGTCACCTTGAGGTGAGGATAAATCTTCGAGTTACAATTCTGAATGTTATTCAGAAAGGTGATGATGAGAGACGGAGGATGATGGATGATAGGGGGTGAAAGGACGAATACAATACAACCATGCCCGAGGCAGGACTCGAACCCGCGATCTTTTGGTACGAGATTGCTACGGCACTACTGCCTTAGCGATCTCGGCCACCGGATCGGCTACTAATACATATACCTACAAATATATTGATGAAACACTGTGAATTATTATACTCTTTTTTCATTGACATAAATTGTTACAACTTAACTCATCCGATTGAAAATGAGTAAACTTGATATTAGAGTGAAGCAAGAATTTTTAACAAGTATTTTAATCCATACTTTCCCATGTAACTTTCTATCTCCAAAAATGGATGAGCCAGGCATCTGTCATGTCTTTAAAATATATATTTATTATGATCTTACAAAGTACAAATTAAAGTGTTTTGCATGAAAATACTCCCCAGAAGGCAGCACTAGCTAGTTATTAGTGTTTTTATACCAATGCATCAAAAACTTCATGTAAGTAGCTAGTAGAATGAATCCAAATTTTTTTCTCATGGGGTGAATTACCAAAATCCTAGTTATTTAGGTTCATGATTACATTTTTTTTATTCCAGACAAACATTATGTATTATATTAAGGCTTCATTATTTTGGCATTTCTTACACTACTCCAATGTTATCTACAGGTGGCATCATCAAAATGAAATATAGTATTTATTTATTTATTTGAAAATATTGTGTTATATTAACGACATTTGTGATTGCTGTTGATGTCATTTTTAGAATTAAAACTAATTCATGTACTATAGTAATGTGAGCAGCCAAGGTAATACAAATTAACATGTTTATTGAGTATTTTAATTCGAGAGATTGGTGGTGAAGTGAAAATTTTTGGCATGTAAGCTTGATTATGGTATTGACTTCATTGAATTTGTAACCATATTTCTGTGGTATTTAATTTTTACTAGTCTTTCTTTATAGGTGCAATTTCATTATCACCAGTTCTTTCTGTTCATGAAGAATCGTGCTGATTACAGACATTATCAGTATTAATTTACCACCCATTTTTAAAATACGAGTTAAAAATTGCTTTAAACCATTTGCAATGTAATGCTTGATTTTTCTTTTGACCTGAAATGTTAAAAGGTACATGAAGACAGAACATGAAACAGTCATGATAATAAATTTTGATTTTTGGTGGTTGTCATTTCCCCCCTCTCTTTAAGTTAAATTGTGCTGGATTTATAAGTATGTATTTACCTTACTCTTTTTCAAGGTGCTGAAACAATTGGTAATAAGATGATAAAATTGTACAAATCTGTTAATGAAAGAACAATAATATGATCAAATAAAGCAGAATTTAACAGTAAGGCACAAAAGTGTTGTCTTTCTGTTAAATACATTTTCAACATCCAGAGTTCGATAAGAGAATATTTGGCTTTCTAGTTATAAAACATATCTCAAGATTTTCTTTCTGAAATAATACATAACATTCTGTAACATTTCTGGGTGTTTGGCTTTGGCTTATTTTCAACTTTTAAATACATCGGATGCCTAGAAAGCAAGGGAGATATTGGAATAGAGTTAAAAGAATGTAAATCTGAGTTGTGCAGAATGAAAACTCTTGTGATGAACAAGAGAAGATACACTAAAGAATTATGAAACAGGTAATGTCCTATGTAGGAATTCTACCAATTGGAACTTAAATGTGGTAAATTGGATAAAGTTGCTTATCACCCCTTGGTTTCTTGGTCTATAAATCAAATGAATATGGAGGCCCTATTTATAAATGTGAATTTTAACCGTGTAATTTGAGAGAACCAGGCCCATGTTATGCTTTCCAAGTTCAAATTCAATTTCTTTTTTATTAATGAAAGCAACTGCCCCATGCGGGGAAAAATCCTTCAAATATTTTTTGAGATGTTTTGATGATTTCAAGGAAGTGTATTTAGATTCAATATATTTATTGATCAAATTAAACAGATTTTAAAATTTGAAAATGAATTTCTATGTATGTAACAAGGCAACTTTTGAATTATACAGGTTCGGAGAATTTTTGTTTCAGTAAATCACTATTACCCTGTGTAATTTAACACTAAGATCTTGTTTATGAAGTGAATTTAAGTATGTGCCATTATGAATACTGTTCAAATTAATAATAAACATGTCCATGTGTTTCCTGACTGAAATTGTAGTGTATGTTAGCATTTTCTTGTTGATTCTATACATGTTACACATATACTTAATATTTTATTTGTAGGTAAAACATATCATAATGTTGTGATAAATATTTATAATGCTAGGAAGAGCATGTGTAGTACAATAAATGTATATTCCCAGTCTTTGTTGTTTTATTCCATAATTATGACTGATATAATTTTATATTTTATCCTTTGATTTCCAACTGCAGTTTTAAGACACTTCTTTAGCCATCTCATTTCTTATGATTAATTTATATCTTCTCATGAAATTGCATATAAAAAATTTATTCTCTTTGATTTATATGCTTATTCTTGCGTTCTAATAGAGATTTCTCAGTTAGTCATAATTGTCTTGAAAATTCTTCTATTGCTGCTTAGATCATCAGATGGACAGATAGTTCATTTTTATTTTTTGTAATGCTGGAAAAAAATCGATGTCAATTTTTTAATTAATGGATATTGGAAGTTTTTGAGGTCACTGATAACATTCCTCCCCCCATAAAAACGTGACTTTCTCCATTCATTTGAATGTGCATAACACTAGGCTCCTAAACCTTTCACCGGGTGTTTTCCAAAATGGATGTGCCATGACTATAGTGGCTACACGCGTTGAAATTTGATTGTTTTTTTTTTTTTTCCTCCAGATAATTTTCAAACATTGTTTAATTTTCAGGGGAACACCACATTACTTGTTTAGGACATTTTCAAAATTTTTGGCTCAAACAGAACAAAATGTGCACATCAAAATAGCACAGGTCAGATTTTCATTAATATTCCTGATTTTTGAAAAAGGGCAAAAGTTAAAATGTTTTTGGACTCCCTCCCTTATATCGTGTTGAGATAACTTAACTTGAAAATACTGTCTCATATCTACTTTGTACTCCATGAAATTAATCTTCAAAATTATATTTTAAGCATCAAATTCAATTTTTTCAATATATGAATAGTTTTTGCATAATTTTAAAAGTTAACTGAGGAAAATTTTCAAAAATACGTAAGTAAAATTTACTAAAAAATAGTGCCATTATTTTATTTTATTTTATTTTATTTTTTGCCTGAATAGAGCAATTCACATATGATTAAAATATATGAATTTTTGAAAATCACGAAAGTTCAATGTTTTTTGGAACATGCTGTACACCTTAAATATTGAAACTAGAGATTTCATTTTTAGTATTATCTATTTCTCAATATTCTATATTTAAATTCATTCATGTATATTTTTTTTCAAAACATAAGGAGCTTTCCTAGTTTTGGGTGAACTGTAGGTAATTTTCTAGAAATAAATGAACAAAATATTCTCAAAAACAACTTTAAATTTTTAATTAAACCTTTCTGGAAAGATTTACCACAATGCACTGAATTGTACGATATAAAAGCAATTTTCTTTAAAACTTGTATTTAAAAAAATTTATGATATATAATTTTGTTTTTGAATCTCTAATGCTTTATTTTATGAATTTTTTATTCCTATGAATTAGAAGGATTCAATAAAAGTTGTTAAGTTGCAATAATGAAATATTCACAACCAATACAAATAATGAGGTAGTGTGAGCTGTTTTAGCACCTCTGTTTTTTATTGATAAATTACTTGTTTGTTTAAATTATTCTGGATGTATTCAGTTAGCTTGACAATTTTTTACTCAAATGTTTTAAATATATTATTTTTAGAGAGAATTTCTGACATTTTTATTGTAACAAAAATTGAATTTATAACACCCTTCTACAGAGTTACTTATTAAAATTAATTATATTTATAATCATTATGTGTTTCTAAAGTTTAATTCTTTAGTTTGGTTTCATTAATTTTATTTTTATTTCTTTGTTTTATATTGTTTAAATGTTAATTTCAAATTTGAATGACAGGATTACCAGGTATGCAAAGTTAAAATACGAGACAAAATTAGAAACATATAATTACAATTACATAATGGAAGTGAAACCAGAATGGTATTTACAGTCAAGGGAGTCATGTGTATTAATAATGAAATACAAAATGAAGTTTTGAAAACTGACAGTAGTCAGGAATTTTAATAAACCAATAAGGCTACATGTTTTGTTTGACAGTATTTTACATTGCTACTTACTACTTAACAGTCATGTTCTGCAGGTTTTCAATCAATGTGCCATGTATTTTTAATTATTATTAACAGATTGTAATAGATTTTTGTTCTGTTTAAATTTTTTATATCACTCTTTACATGACACTGTTACATAATTTAAAGAAAAAAGCATCTTAGCTATTACTAAATTAGGCATACAAGTTTTCTCACATCAGTACACTTCACGTTAGTGTGTGAGAATCTCTCTCCATCATTACTATTTGAATAATTTTGATGGGAATATGAGAAATTTGATGTCGTGGGAAAGAACACAATAGGAGATAGGACATTTCTCTCAAATAAGGATCTGTCTCTTACAATTCGGGATGCCTGACTAAAGACTTCAGAACATTATTTAGATATTCTTATTCTGATTTTTGCTATGATATTTGTTGGTCTCTAACTTCTATTATTCTTGAATTTTAGGGCATTCTCAACAATCTTGTTGAGAAAAAAACTCTTGAGTTTTTATTGCAATTTTTTAGTGATATTTTTTTTGTAGTGATGTGAATTCCTTTATATTTTTAACAATTTATTTTATTAGATGTTCCTGTTTGGCTGATCAGTTCCTTACTGAACATATGTCTGCTGTAAGAATTAGAAGTGCTAATTTTCCTGAATACACGACAAATTTGGTTTTGCTAGTTGTGTCTGAAGTCCAGTAACATCACAATGTCAAGTAAGTTTCACTCTGGATTGCAAATATTAGTTCTGAAATATCTTCACAAAACGTCAGTCAGTAAATCTCTGTCAAAAGCATAAATCTATGAGAGTAGTGTTCATTACAATTGTGACTGATGGATCAAATTGATGGATTGTACATTCTTGCATATTCTTTTTTGATAATATGATTCAAGTTTCAATGACTGTTTCCATCCAATAGATATGAATCTTTATTTATGATACAAGATGAATTAAATATACTTAGTCTTGTCACATATGGCTGTTTTAAAATGCGTACAATATTTTGTTGTAACTTTTAATTTAATAACAGTAGAGCAACTAGAGCTTTACTAAATAATATCATAAATTTAAATCATTAATTTACGTATTTATGCTTAATTACATTGTTTTTGACATGTTTCATTAAACGTCATTTAAATTAAACCACGAAATTTCTAACTGTACTTTTTGGACGATTTTTAACCGTGAGGAGAGAGATGAACAATCTGTGCTAAAATGTTATAATTTCTCCAGGGTTAGAGCTAACTTTTTTATGTTTGATAAAATAAATGGATGATTTTTTTGTAAACAATTTAACAGTTTTTTTTCAAATATTAGATTTTTTTCTGAATAATTTTTAGAGATGTAAAATTAATTTATCTTCACATACTTCCATAGTGAAGGGAAAGTATTGTAATGCAGCAAAGAAAAGTGGCAATTTTTTACTAAAAATCTCATTTGGTGGGTACCTGATAATGAAAACACAGCTAATTCTCACTCCTATATGTAGTAAATTACTTCCTCTAATAGATTTTGTAGTGGGAATCCACGTTGTGTGGGTCCTTGATTCATCATAATTGGTTTATGGCAAAACATCTGTGTCCATTTGTGGGCAATGTTAGAGCCTAAACTGGATCTTGTCCAAAATTGATACTCTGATTGAACTGGCTGAACTCGAGGTCTTGCAAATTTTAAATGAATATTTTGATTAAGGGGAAGAGGGGTAGTTTAAATGGCACTTCAATATGTTCAATTTTTTCTCAAAGATGGCTCAAATTGGTTGGATCTTTTTATACAGTGTTAGGTTTGCTGATAAAAATGACTCACGTCCAATTTTTGTTGAATTTTCTGAACTTTTGAAAATTGCAAAAGTGAAAATATTTTTCAGTGTATGTTGACAAGTGCAATATTAAATATAGAGATTTTTTGCCTACCTTTTTTATTATTAAATCTTCAAATAATGTTATGTACAATTTTTTGAAAATATGAGCTGCACTTCTTCAACTTTCTTTTTAAAATCATCAAAAAGATTGTTATATGGCCATAGTATTTTGGTATGGTGGATATGCTCTTAGCTTGCTACACCTAAGAATGTGAGTTTGTATCATGTGATGGGCAAAACATTTGAGGAATGGAAACCCTTTTGCTGGTTCAACTAGTAATAATTTGTTATGTAACCATTACAAATAATTTAACAAAGTATATGCACCACAAGTTTTATGTAGATGTCTCATGAGGTGTCATACTTTTGTAGGGAAGGGAGAAAATGATAATGAATTGTACAAGAGATAAAATATACATAAAGCCTAAGTATCTCAGTAAAGTATACCAAGGAAAGTGGGTCAGAAAATAGATTATAATAATTTATTTCCATTCATACATTTTGAAAACACTTTTATCTTTATTTTTCCAATTACTATTGCTATAATTTATTATTACAATTTTAGAGTAAGGACAGATTATTATTTCTTTGATATTAGTTATTTCCAAAATATAATTTTCATTTTAAATCAAAATACCTCCTTTAAATTTTATAATTTTATTTAGTGAACTTGTGCTTCTGTACAGAGGTTTATGAAAAGTTTTAGAAACTTACGTACTTTGACCCAATGGAAATTTCGGTGTGGATCAGATGTCATGCCCACATCAGGTGGAAGACTTCTTGAAGCCATCGTCTACTTACTGAGTTCCTGGAGAAAGAAGTTACAGTATTTAATTGAGGTGTCAATCCCTGGTCCGGCTAGATACTTCCATTCAATGTAACTTGAAATTGTGGACAGAATACTGACAGTAGCGCTGGACAGGTTTTTGCGAAAATCTTAGAAGCAGCTTAGTCCGTGTGAGACCTTGCCCTGCAATTAGGCCGATTTCCTTGAATAATAAGCAATTTCAAGAAAATGATATTAATAATAAACATACGACTTGAATACCATTTGCGGTTTTTGAATCACAATTAATCTCCATCAATCGATGGAATGCATGGAAGTGACAGTGTTTTCCGAATCGCGTGGTCTGTATTTGTAATGTATAAATGTTCGTTGAATCAGTATAATGTGCGCATTGCAGAATCAGTACGTCGTGAATTATACATTTCATTGTTAATCTGAAGTGATTGAAACTAGAAGGGCCTACGCGAACAATCCGCTCTTTGTAAACCATTGTTTTAAAAGTGGGGGAAAAACTAGTTTAAAACTGGAACCCAGCTTCCAACGGCTCTTGCACTGAGCTTTGCAACTATATAAACCAGTCACTCTCTTGTGTAATCTTGGACGTACCTCGTTTGTGTCTCCTCGCTCGTCGCTCTGGTCGTGGCTCGTCGTTGAGATTCGCGCATTGCCAAAGACAGCCCCTCTAGGTCATTCCAATCCAGCGGAGAAACGCCCTTTTGTTGCTGCAGAAGCTCCAGGTACTGGGGGACGGCCGGGGCAGGTGGGGAATCTGCGGGCTCGGGGCCTTCCACCACTGGTTTAATGTCGCCAGATTCTGGCTGCTGTTCGGTTGATTGCGTAGTTTCCGAATGTTCTTCCTTTTTGGTCTGTAAGAACAGTGAAAATGAGGCTCGATAAACATTTTCACGTTGGAATCTGTACTCCTGAATTTGTAAATATTAGGTAATCTCAGGCACGTAAAATTTGGGGAAAGAGACATCAAAAGAAGATAACCTTCCCGGAATTTTAGTTTCAGCCTCGGCAATATTTTTATGATTTATTTATGTTTACTAGGTGTACGAGGTAGATTACAAAATGTCACGTTATGTATAAATTCAATAATACATGGTGATTCAATCCTCGTGCAGCTAATACGCCGGGACCTTATCCCATATGTCATGTGCAAACTGAATTTGCCAAAATTAGGTACTCTTCATCATTTAGTTTTGTAAATAACTAACGTTAAAGGTTGGATTATGTGCTTGTGCTCGTGTATCACAGGCTCCGGCAACTGAGCGAGCGGCTTCACCTCGCGTAGGCTCGCCACTTTTCTGGAAAACAACTGTTGCTAAAACTAGCTGGGAATCCATGGAAACGAGCACAAGGCAAATAGCGCGAGAGATCAAGACTCACAGTCCCTCGTATGGCGAACAATTCATGCTGAGAGATTACTTTTCCATTTCCAGCTGGTGCAGCATTTTCGCAGTAGACACTTATAACGTCTTTTTCAATTCTTTAGATATTTCTTGCGCAAATGCAAAGAAAACCAGGAATTTTATTCTTTGGTCGGATGAAGCCTGTTTTACAAGAACTGGCACAATTATTGTGCACAATTTGCATGCCAAGGCCGAGGAAAATCCGCATGTTGCACGTAGTGTTGCTCATCAAGAGCAATTTTCTGTAAATGTGTCGGGTGGCATTGAGGATGAATTTATCATCGGTCCTCATTTGTAACCCGAACGTTTAAGAGGCGTGCAGTATCTGAATTTTATAACTCAGGTATTCTCAATGCTTTTGGAGCTGGGGGATTATGAAAGACTGCGTTTATGTTACCGAAGTCGAGGATCGTGATGACCTTCTTAGGAATATTGAAAGTGAGGCGGCATAAATGAACGCACTATCCGGCAAGGTTGTGCGCGCCACAGAGGCCACGCGGCGCAGATGACCAACTTGCGTTCACGCCAGAGGAAGCCATTTAGAACACTTGTAGAGCCCGTGTTACACGAAGTGAAAATGCGAAATTTTGGCTGTATAGCAAATATGTTAAACTATCCTAAATAACACTTAAATAATAGCCTTTTCTCTCCTTTCGTATTAGATAAGTAGGCAATAATAGCAACAGGGAACAATAATTAATGTAATATTTGGGCTACAGCTTTTGCAAAATATGATCAATGACAAAAAGTTTAAAAAAAATTTGGAATAGGGTTTACACTATTTTCTTTTGCTATCATGAATGACTTATTGTACTCTATCACCGGGTCTTGTATGCGCAATGAGGACTGAATCACCTTGCATATTCTTAACAAAAACTCTGAAAAGACGGCAGATAGAGCGGGTCAACCGCTCAGGAGATTAGTTCAGTAGGCTAGCGGGGATTTTCCTCAACCAGATATCTCCCACCCGCGGGGTGGCGCCCCAGCCGGAACAAGCTCCCGAGCTCACACACTAACAAACACTCATAAGTTCACACACACACACACACACAAGCGAGTTCGTTTGCGAAGGCGAGCGCGCGCTGCGGGGCGTTGCACCTTGCGGTTGACGCGGTTGTAGTGGGGCGTCGTAGAGGCGCGGGCCGTTGGCGAAGTGCGCGGCGGGAGGCGCGTGCCGTGCAGCAGCAGCGCGCTCGCGCCACGCGCCCGGCGCCCAGTCTTGCCCGCCGCGCCCTCGGGTCGGCGAGCACCTGCAGCAGCAGCGCCCGCGCGGCGCTCGCCCACGTCAGCACGGACAGGAAGCGCCAGCGGCGAAGCCCTCGGCCGAGTCGTCCCAGCGCGCGGCCCCAGCAGCTGCACGCGCGTGCCTGCAGCAGGCGGCTTTCGGTTCACTTGTGTTTACGCTTGTGCCATTAATGCTTTTGTTAAAAATGAATACCTCAAAAGAATTGAATTCTGCGAATTAAGAAGCAATTCCTTGTCTCTAAAATAAAGAATGATACAATTTACCCGAATCCAATTGAGGAAATCTACAAACAAATTCCTAAATTCACAGATTCAATGCAATTGCAAAGAATGAAATGTATGGGACATTTAGAAACAATTAATTCCTAACAGGTTAACAAACCTGATCCGTGTCTTTTTGAGTAGTAAAGCCGCCACACCGAATTGGTACAAACAGAAAAGAACCGCAGAGAACTGGGATCTCCAAATTTACAAGATCGTGATATGATTTAAAAAATCACAAAATCGCAGAGTTTGGAGGTGGAAAAGGTCAAACGAAATATTGGTACGAAGTACCAATATTGAGGTACGAAAGCAAACTCATTCGTTGCGTACGAGAATTGGGCTAACAAGAAGGTCAAAAAGTGTTGATTCCGTGTGGTTCTAAGTGACCTATTCACGAAGAAGGAGAAGCAATAATGAAATATACTGCAACATTGAAGAAATAACAGACACAATTCGGATGAGAAGATTGCTCTCTTTTTGGACACATATGCAGGATGGATGATAACAGGCTAACAAAACAAATTTGCACGTATCTTTGGAATAAATCTAACATAATCTGGGTTCAAGAAGTTAAGAAAGATATGGAAAGGAGCAATATGAGAGAAGAACAAACAATGGCGAGAGATATATTTAAAAATAAATTGCAACGAATGGAAGGGTACCAAGGAAGGAGAGGAAAAGTGGTGCAAAATGGTACGAAGAGAGGAAAATAAAACAGCGAGAAGATGGAGTACTGGAGAGAGAATAAAGAGCAACTTAACAGGAAGGGTTAAAATTTATTATATTTTTTACTTTCTCGCGCTTAAGGAACTTCTTAAGAAGAGAAAGTTGTGTAATGCTGCACGAAAAAACGGCGAATTTTCGGCAGAAAAACTCTTACTACAGGGCCCTGGTATCGAAAAAGACGGAGGACGGAAAGATCGCGCGCGTCCCGTTTGTTAGGATACCTCGTCGGTGTTCGCCTGGTATTGATCGAAGAAATCACGAAAAACTACCGATCAGAGCAGCCGGCCGCTAGAATTCTCCTTCAGACAGCCGATAAACTTGACCTATCTAGCGAGCCGAAATTCTACTATGGTCGAGACTCGAACCCTAGAGTCATTGCTGTGACATCAATTGATGCTTTCAGCCACCTAAGACGGTTGAAGTCTTAGGCTTCCGCGGCCGGAGCCATGTAAATGATCTTGGCTGTCCGAGTGACGCCGCGTCGAAGGCTGTGTTGCCGATGTTTCGATCATCTTGTCGTGATCTTCGCAGACCAGCCCTGAAGAAAACCACGATAAGATGGTCGAAACGTCGGTAACACAGCCTTCGACGCGGCATCACCCGGACAGCCAAGATCATTTACACCTAAGACGGTTTTTGTGCAATGGAAATTTCGTTAATATTGATGACAATTTTCTCGACAAACCTTGACCCAGAACACTTTCCGTACTTCGGAAAAATGTTTGCTTACCAGATGGGGATGTGAGGAACACTTGCAGCTCCCCGCGAATGGGGTAGTCGATGTTCACCTCCACTTGCACGTGCTCCAGGTAGTTGACCTCGTCGTCGGTGCCTGCGCAGGCGTCCGTGTCGAACGCCACCTCCACGCGCCCCCCGGCGCGCAGCGTCGCGTTGTCTCTGCGAGGGCAGCCCTTGCGGTTAGTTGCTGCATTTATTTAGTCAAGGGAAAGTAAAAACTGTATGGGACATAAGGGAGAGATGCACCATCTGCGCACATTTTCTTTAGCTCCAGAATCTCTTCCTCTTATTTTAACTATGATCGGTTGAAAGATAAATACAAGTTAAAAAGAAATAAACAAAAGTAAATATTAGCAATAAAATTTAAAAAAAGCGTGAGATTAGCAACATTTAAAAACTACTGATGCTACAGAATGGCACAAACTTTCCCGTATTAGTTTTCAATTTCTTTTGGCCTGGGCTAGCTATTCGAACTTGTCACATACTCTTGCCTACTGCCATCTATCGCCGCCCAAAATACAATTTTTTTGAAATTTTCTTAATTTTTCGGTTTCCTAATTGTAGAACGGAAATATTATTTTAAGAATATTAATGAACAGTAAAACCTCCTCCTAAATGACAATTGTCAACTCGTCTGTATGTTCTAGAAGTTTGTAGCATTTATTCCGAAACATCCTATACCTAGGCTGCCTCAGATACACGAAATCTGACACGAACTCTTATCTACCAAACACCAGCACAGGAATGAAGTTTAGTTTCCTACCAATGTTCAAAATTGAATATGTATAACTTCGTTATACATACTCTCCAGGTTTAGCTCACCTTGAAAGTGAATTTAATTTTGAGCCACCTCAATACTGTAGGAGGCCATCACTGGATCAATTGCTTAATTATTATTATTATTATTATTATATTATTATTATTATTTTATTATTATTATTATTATTATTATTAACTTCGTTATATATTTCCCACCACAAGTACACGGGCAAAAAGTGATAATCTTCTATTCCCGCCCTAGGGCGCCCTAGAAGTTTTTAACATTTACTCTGGGACCGTAAATAAACGTATCAGTTGTTGTGTGATGAGTAGCAACTCACCCCGAGGTGGCCGGCACGAGGCAGAGGGCGGCGGGCGGCACGGTGGTCCAGTTGGCGGCGTGCGCCACCAGCGACGCGGCGTTCATCAGGCCGAAGCCGAAGCGCGTGTTCACCCAGAAGCCCGCCGCCGTGCGCCGCCAGCCCTCGTTGTCGCTCAGCGGCGCGTACTCCGACGTCCACACCACCAGGTGCTGCACGTCGCGCCACGTCAGCTCGGGGCTACACGAGGCAGACAGGCGGGATCTCGTGTGAAGGGGCTGTGGTTTTTAGCTACTTGGCTGTCCGGGAGACGCCGCGTTCTAGGCACAGGTGCCTACGTTTCGGCCGCCATTCCGTGACCTTCATCAGGGCGAAATGCGTTTCGCATGGCATTTCGCCCTGAGATGGTCACAGAATGGCGGTTTAAACGCTGGCACCGCCAATATGCGACTTTCCTCACAGTGAAATGCATTTCGCATGGAATTTCTGGCATTTCCCCCTGAGGAAGGTTGCAGAATGGCGGCCAAAACGTTGGCACCCGTGCCTAGGACGCGGCGTCTCCCGAACAGCCAAGTTGCTACTGACTTCCGTAGAAGCCTACGGTCTCACGTGGTATTGTTTTATTTTCGTAATGTTGTACTCTGATATCGACATAAGGCTACCATGCAGAGGAACAAAAAGCCAGTCTTAGTGCGGCTCCCCTTATGATGGTCGCCGTCCGTTAAGAAAAATCGAAACGAGTTGTATTAAAATGGCGTATGATTGCGCATATCAAAGAAAAGGCATTTCTTATTTCTAAGCATTTTTGTTATTAATACAATAAATGGTATAACGGGATCATTAACCGACATACTGTCATTATCACAAGTAACAAACTTGTTGGTTATAAACCTCGGCTATCTCCTCGGTTGACTAACGTCTCCGCGTCTTTTATTTGCTCTGTATCGGCCTAATGACAACAACAATAGCGAATATCCTTTTACATAGACTATTGTAACATGTGGTTATATATCAAATTTATAATGAAAATAAAACTTTTCGACGATCAATTTTTGTTTTCAACATGTTCAAAAATTAACAGTTTTAATTTTTATCTCTTATTTGAACGATTTATCACCTGAAGACAAAAATTGATTGTGAAAAGGTTATATTTTTAATATAAATGAATTCATAACTAAAAAATATAATATTCGGTAGTACACAATTATTGATTGTCAATAAAACAATGTTGTTTCAAGCGTAAGCCTACAACAATTTAATAATGATGGTGCTTACAAACGGAACCGAGTTTCCTAGCCAAGAACGATTGCTCGAAGTTTTGCTTAGTGATAGCGAGGGATAAGATAAAATCAGCTATCCGGATTGGTGTACCTCGATACCATCAACATCAAAGCCTATTGTTACGTTTATTGGAAACAGGAATTATTTAATCCGATGTTATTGCGTATGCGATCTCGACTTTTTGGTAATAGAATTTACTCGCTATAATTAACAGGATTTTCTAATTTTAATATCATTTTGAGAATAAATTACCTCAGAACAAAATTTTTACTTTGTTATTTTGCTAATAATTGCAAGTTTATCATCCATTCTTCATTAACTCCCTGAAGCTTAAACTCCAGAAAAACCCATGGCGTGACTGAATATTAAATCAGTTTAAAGCGAATAGTACACTGTTAGTAGTAATGGCGTTACTTGCGTTGAAGGTATTGGATTCACTCTCGCATTTTTCATGATTATTTATGTAAAGTAACTCTTAAGTAAGTTTTTGTTTGACTGCAGAAATAGACGTGTATGATTGATTTATCTATTTCCTTCATTGTCAATAGTATTTCAGTGAAGTTACAAGAACAATTTAGTTATTTTTGTGGTTACATCGGTATCGTCGTAGAATTTCGTATCGTAGAATTACTAATTCATGTTTCTACTTTGAAATTGTGCCATATTTTTTTGATAAGGAAATCTAAATTTATCCCCGGCCAGAATAGAAGATAAGGATTGTAATAGTCTAGTTCATTCAGCCAATATCTCCCAATTCTAATTTCACCTTAATCGAATAGTCTCGAATCATCCGAACTCCAGTCTGTGGTCAGCACAATGAAAACTATTATGCTAATTGCTAATGCTCACTTGACTTCGAGGGCGAGGGCGATGATCCCGGCCGCCAGGGGCGCTGATGCGGACGTGCCAGTGTGCTTCACTGTGCATGTGTTACCCAAGTCGGTCGTTGCCTACAACAGATCAATCAAATCGAGTACATACCCGTAGGGATAGTTAAGGGTTTCTACAACTTGCTATATTGTTTTCTATTGCGCGAATGATCTTGGCTGTTCGGTTGACGCCGCGTCGAAGGCTGTGATGCCGACGTTTGGGTCACCTTGTCATGGTTTTCCTCAGGGCTGAAGTGCGGCAGGATTGTGGGAACTCGGCTATCTGGACTCTAACAGTGTATAAACCTGAGCGCCTTCCATCCTGCCGCCCTTCAGCCCTGAGGAACACCACAAGATCGTCACAACACTAGTATCACTGCCTTTACGCGGCGTCACCCGGGCTGCTAAGTTCATTCGCAAGACTGGTCGCGGAAGCCTTCGATATCACACTTTGTTCTTTCCTGGTTCAACAGCCACTTCAGGCAACGGACGCCTCTGACGTTTTCGAAAGTTTTCTAGGTCAGGGGAATGGGTCTCACAGGGATAAGTGTTCAATCCATCAATCGGCTTTAAGAATGGATATTGACTGAAAAAAGAACTGAATTACATACGGGAAAATCGTATTCGGCCCGAGACCCGTTTATATAGATGCTGCTCCTGCATTTGTCAGGAAGCGATAAGGGAAAGCGCGGAAAACCACTGATCAGGACAGAAGGCCAACCACGTCGAACCCGGCAGGCACCAATTTGAATTTGTTGTTTAATAATTACTAATAATATTAAGAGGAACACCGTTAATCCCAGTTGTTTGGCAATTGTCAGTTAGGTACCACGCTTGACTTTTATACGTTACATGCTTTCGTATTTGCAATGACCCATACAACGATCATGCCAAATTAAAATGGGACACCGGGTAGGACACAAAGAAGTATAAGGAGGAGAAATAGAAAGAGAAGTTGGATGAACAAAAGAAAAACGAGAAGGAACAGAAAGAAGAAGATGAGGAGTAGAAAGAAGAAATCGGAAGAGGAGAAGAACAGAACAGAGAAAGGAGAAGAAAGACAATAGGTTTTTGTCTTAACCTAATATTGTGTGTCCTGTATTCTCTTGTCGATTCATGTTTATTGCACATGATTAAACCCCGTAAGAGCGTGTCCCCGAAAACTAGCATGTTCTTCACTGTCAGTGGCCTTGTACTCACGATCATCTGGTCGGTACCCCGGTACAGCGGGTCCCCGACGACTAGCAAGTTGTTCACTAAGAGTGGTCTTGTACTCACGATCATCTGGTCGGTGTAGGCGCCGCTGGAGTAGGTGGTGGCCATGGTGGCGGCGCAGCGCTCGCCGTACCAGGGGAACTGGCCGCGCTGCGACGCGCTGCCCACGGCCAGCGTGTAGATGCTGCCGATGTAGCCGTCGCAGTCGCAGTTGTCGCCGCGCGACCCGCCGTTGCCTGACGCCCACACGTAGATGGCGCCGCGCCCGCCGCGCCCCTACGGACGCACACGTCACGTTTCGTCCGAATTCAATACAGTGACAGATCATCTGCTGGGCGCGGTTATCCGATTACGAGATTCGTCACGACTTTAATTATTGGTATTGAATTGTTGGAATAGAATTGTTGGTGTTGGTTGGTATTGGTATTAACGAAGTTTCCAGTCAGGAGCTTCGTCACGACTTTAATTATTGGTATTGAATTGTTGGTGTTGGATCGACTTGTTGGTATTAGTATTAACAAAGTTATCCAATCACGAGCTTCGTCCCGACTTTAATTATTGGTATTGAATTATTGATGTTGGTTGGTATTGTGGGTATTGGTATTAACGAAGTTATCCAATCACGAGCTTCGTCACGACTTTAATTAATGGTATTGAATTGTTGGTGTTAGTTGGACTTGTTGGTATTGGTATTAACGAAGTTATCCAGTCAGGAGCATTGTCACGACTTTAATTATTGGTATTGAATTGGTGTTGGTTGGACTTGTTGGTATTGGTATTAACAAAGTTATCCAATCAGGAGCTTCGTCACGACTTTAATTATCGATATTGAAGCTCCTGATTGGATAACCGCGTCACAGCTGATGATGTCACAAGTCACTATTTAAGTCTGACAATAGCACACATAAAGTACGTTGACTGCTCTTGACTTATAACAGAACAGATGAAAAGGTAATCGGAACGATCCTTTATTCAAGTGAGTCAGCGGATACAAGCCGAGGCTCGAATCCTAGGACCTCCCGGTCGGAGGGACTGCGGTGACATCAGTCGATGCCCTGAGCCGCCTCAGCCGGTGACAAGCGGGAGGTGGTAGTGGCAGTTACCTCCCGGATGCCGCGCTCCAGCGCCTCGAGGGCGAGGATGCCGGGGCCCTCCACCGTCTTGCCGTCGTCGTTGGGGCCCCAGGAGGCGCTGTAGATGTCCACCAGCTTGTGCGCGTAGCCCAAGGCGGTGCCCTCCACGCGGTCGTTCACCTCGCCGTCCAGCAGCCGCACGCCTGCCGCACACGTAATCAACTCACAGTGCGCGAAATCTTGTTTTTTTTAAAACTTATTTAAGGTCGCTTTGCAACTACTACGGTCATATATAGCGATCACTGTGAATAACATTGGGGGTAACAGGGACACACACAATCATGCACGCCTCAGGCGGGATTCGAACCCGCGACACCCGAAGCACGAGTCAGCTACGGCTCTTTAGCCTTAGCGACTTCGGTCTCAATTTTTTTTTCTGTTTCGTAAAGGTCAATATCAAGGTAGTAGCGACCATTGTGACTCTGAGGCACAATTAAATAACTTCTGCACGTGGTGAACGATCTCACCTCAAGAACATCACAGTGAATTCGCTTCTGACGTGACATACTATCAGATGAGGATTAGAAAAAAATATTTAAATTACATGTGTTTTATTAACATTTATTTTTCTGAACATATCCTATTTTACAAATGAGTAAAATATTTCTTATTCTTTGACGACCACGCTGCTGGAGATTCCAACAACACAGTCGCTACAGGCAAACAACGTACGTTCTACTTGCTGATCGTTTCCTTTCCCGACGCTACTTGCGCTGGTAAGCTCGTGTCAAGGAGCCGCGTCGTGAAATGCTGCTATCAATTGTTAATCGTTACATCACTATTCTACAATCTTGAATTCTTCGAAGAGTTCTTATTGAAGAATCATAGCGCCCAATATTGCTCTGGTTTAAAGTAAATCAACGTTTCGTAAACTTCTCATTTTTTTGCTAAAAAGCACCGTTTTTTCTAAGTTGCTTACCAATGTTGGTGATGCAAGTTAGTTTAACAAACGAATTTAAGGAATAATGTAGGTTAGAAATTCATTTCTCTGCTATACGTAAAATACTCTTCCGAAAAATTAGTCCTTTCTTTCTGTCATCTTTAATGTCCGGAAGATATCTGTTCTACTTGGAAAGCAGATCAATATATTTATTTGCTTTTTATTTGTCCTCGCGGAATCCGTATAAAAGGTCTACAAAAGCCGAAGGTAGCTCCGAAGCCATGATGGAAACGAGACCTTTTGCACTCTTGTACACAGCAAGAGGCTTCTTACTGCGTATTTAGGTCACGTTGAAAAATGAACATTAATATTTTCGCGCGGAAATAAACATATGGCATACATCAAGATCTGCAATGCCTACTGGACGCGAATATTAAAATAAAAATTTATAAAACATGTAAGAACAAATTAGTAGTTTTAAAGCGCATCATGATTTTGTATAAAAGTAAAGACGATTCTAAAACAAAACCAATAACTTTTCATCAGGTGATTCTATTTCGTCTTTCGTATTATATTGGGCGAAGATAATTAGTTTTCTCTAGCGAAAACGCGTTTTCTCAGACCACAATCACAACAGCTTGGAGATTACAAGACGTTTTTCTTGCGTCTGACTATAGTGTTTACATTTTCGTTAACGAAAACCTTTTAATTGTTGCAATTTAGAACTTTGTAAATATACAAAAATTGGATTCGCATAATACATAAAATATTAGCTGTGTCCATTACAATACAAGTAGTATACAATAATATTACATTCTATGCACTTTCTGGTACCTCTCTACCATACTGATCCCTTCACATTTGTCCTCTAATATTCACCTCACCTTATCCTGAACATTCCACCTTTCCTACATTATTCCTTCCTGAAAGACCCAACGTCTCTCTAACATATGTCCTTAGTCCTCCCCTTCCATCTCATAAATACTACATTTCATCGCGTAACTATTTAGGCAATAACTACTCGCTCGAGTTCCATTTCGTAAACCACATCTTTCTATTCTTCGTCTGTCTCTTTCCCTAATTTCTCCCCTTTAAATAAGTTTCCAAATATCCAACTGAATAATTTTATACCATTTGTTTTAAGATGAGTTTCTTTTTTTCGTAATCTTCCTGCAGTAACTGATCTTTATCCCTTGAAATCAAATCTTTACTCAAGTCAATCTGTTCTCCTCTTAAGCTTGTCACATACGCCAACGAATAACCTTTATTATCCCAAAAACTTTCCTTTCTCTTTCCCAATCATATTTCTCAATATCTTTGTTCTTATCTATTTTCCACCAAAATTGCTTTATAAATTCATTCCCTCTCTCTCTTAATACTTTCCTCAAAATTACGTGCTATTTTGCTCTTCTCTATTCTCATTTCCTGTTGCATTCTCTCCCATCTTACCATGTAACCTGGTGAGCAACAATCTGTTCCTAGCACCCATCTTAAACATGTTATGTTCACATTTTGTTTACTCTAATGTTTCGTTATCCTACTGGTTCTTCCTAATGTCCATAGCAAGTTTCTTGACCTAAATAAAACAGACTATGAGTTTTTTTTATAACAATTCATTTCATGTTCTATAATTAACGTTTCGACCGTATT